AAACTCTTTTTTTTTTTTAGAGAGGAGTTTGCTATAGTGAGTGCGTGCTCGCCAGAAAGACAGAAACACAGAAACAGAAAGCAAGAAATCACCCCTCCTCCCAGGGGGAATAGCCATGTCGCAGTCCCTTCCCCATTCTCCTCTTGGGATCTTGGGCACACTCGCACATGCACCCGGCGTGAGTTTAAGCGACCGGGTCTGGGACTCGAACTGCAGTCGACTACATGGGAGTCCAACGACATAGCCATTATGCCGACTGCTGGTCCCTCTTCTTTTCAAACTATCTAAAAATACTGTCAGAACTTTGTAGTTGTGAATGAACAGAAGTTTAACCCAGCCTCTAGGTGGTTGGTTTGTAGTCAGAGGATTGTGATTCTGTTCCTACTCACCAGGAACAACACAATTGTGTGAGTCTGGATTTTTACAAAGAGCGGAGAGCAGCAAGTCCATCTCCTTTCTTGTTACTTGCACTATGCAGTCATTGGTGTGTTCCAGCTTCTTAGAAATCTTTATTGCCTGTAAATACGCTGTCATAGATTATGTTTACCAGTTTTTGATGAAAAGTGCAAATCGCTTGCCTTCGCTTTGCAGCTGTGGCCATTTGTATCACTCGTTCTGTCTACAAAGCAAAGAATGCACCATCGAAATCGAGGGCCAGACCAGATGGACATGCTACAAATGCAGCTCAAGTAATAAAGTAGGAAAACTCACTGAAAATTCATCTGAAATTAAGAAGGGAAGGATAACCCCATCGCAGGTAAGACATACTTTCATAGCAGGGTAGAGGTAATCGTTTCCGGTCAATGTCTTAGGCCCAGGTCCTCAGCAGATTGACGTGATGGGCCTCGAGCGCATGACAGACAGAGACAGAGAGAGACAGGCAGAGACAGAGAGAGACAGGCAGAGACAGAGAGACAGGTAGAGACAGGCAGAAAATGAGAAACAGAGAAGTCCAGCTACATAACCATTATACCATCTACTGGTCCCAAAATAAGTAAATATTTTAAAAAGAAAGCAATTAAAACTGCAGTTTCTGAGATACAGAATACACTAGTTGAGATTAACAGCAGAATGGCCATTGCAGAGAAAAAAATCATTCATGAGCTTCACTCTATACAGAAAAAAGGTGAAAAGAAATGAATGGAGCATGTGGAACAACTTCATGTAGCCAAATATATGTATAATTAGAGTTTTGGAAGAAGAAAAAATACTATTTGAAGAAGAGTAATAGCGTAATGGCAGAGTAGCTTGTATTATATGAACCTTTCTGCCAATAACAATGATAAGCTCTTGGGACCAGCAGTTAGCGTAATGGCTATGTCGCTGGACTCCCACGTGGTCGACCGCAGTTCGCATCCCAGACCCGGTGGCTTAAAATTCACACCAGGCACGTGTGTGTGCGTGCCCAAGATCCTGAGAGGAGAATGGAGGAGAAGGGATTGTGGCGTGGCCATCCCCCCCGGGGGGTGATTTCTCGCTTTCTGTCTCTCTGTCTCTGTCTTTCTAGCAAGCGCATGCGCCCTATAACAAAAACCTCTCTAAAAATAAAACAATGACAAAACACGAATGAACACTGTTTAGACAGCAACTGGAAGCAGGCAGAAACTGTAGGGAATATAGATCTTCAAAAAAGAGAAGCAAGCTAGGGGAGCTCTATGAACCCAGCATTTTTTTAGGGTACTCCTCGGTTTACCTCGGATGGAGTGCTAAGGAAAAATAGCTTAAATAGAAAGTAGACATTTTTTAAAGTTATTTATTTCATGCAATTTATTATTCTTACCATTTTTTATTTGGCCAGAGAGAGAGAGAAAGAGGAAATGAAAAAGCAAGCTGCCAGGTCTGGGACTGGAACTACAGTTGGCCATATGGGAGTCCATCACCTTAAGCACCATGCCACCCTCAGAAAGTAGGATTTTTACAGGGCTGAAGTAACAGAAGTCAAAGTTCTACCCTGCCAAAGAAACTTTAAATTGAAGGGGAAATCTCAGAAAGAAGGTCCCAGATTTTCTTTATAAGTTTCTAAATTGCGCGTGTCCAGTGTTGCCAGAAACCCAGCAGAAAGCAGCATCAGCGGGACTGGAAAACTGAGCAGAGATTGTAGCAGCTTCCCAGTGCAGAGTTTCGAATGTAAATCGCTCTATGTTAGAGAGATCGATAAATAGCTCTAATGTTGTGTTAAAACTGCACTACGGGCCATGGTTTAGGAGTAGGGCAAAGCGAAATAACCCCTAACAAAGCCGAAGCCCAAACGGTCGTAAGATCAGTAATGAGAAGGTAGCCTATAATCAAGAGAAGAGGTATCAGTAGAAGCAGACCTACAAATGGCTCACCTGGTGGAGTTGGCAGTTAAAGATTTTAAAATAAAACTATAAATGTGTTAAAGGATTCAGAGGAAAAGATAAGCTGTATGACTGGACAAATGGGGAAAAACCGCAGCAGAGAAATGAAAACTATGAAATAAAACCAAGCGAGAGTGTTACCAGAATCAGGGACCATCCCCAAGTTTGGCTTCTCACTGTGCGTGAAAGACAAGAGTGGGTGGAAAGGAAAGGCTGCTGTTTTCAGGAAGCTGGCGACCTGTGAAGGAGGAGGCTAATATCCAAAGACCATCCCTGAAGCCCTGGTCTAGCCAGAAGGTTTGTGAAGGAGAGGGCTCTGTGCTGCCTGCCCGGCACAGCAGCTCATTGTTTCCTTAGCCGGAACTGCAGGAGAGACTTGTTGACAGCAGGTTGTTTTCAGCTGTGGCTGGGTCAGCTGGACCCGCTCATTGGGGGCAGAATGTTCTCATTGTTCTTGTCGCTTTGAGCATGCGTGCTTTCTTGTTTCAAGGCCTTCAGGGCCTGGTCTCTGAGTTATTTTAGCTCTTCACTTAGCCTTGTTACATTAGAGCTAAAAAAAATAACATCTAAAATGAAAATTTCACTAGATGTCAACAGCATTTTTAATACTGAGAAGAAAATGTTGCCAGTAAATTTGAAGACAGTTCAATAGAAATGAATTGTTTCTGAAGCACAGAGACAAAAAAGATCGGAAAAAAGTGTAGAGAGCTCTTGGTGAACTGTGAAAGAATGTCAAGAAGTCTAGCATATGTGAGTAACTTCAGCTAGTGCATGGAAAAATGGCATTGAAGTGTGAGTTTATTTTGATGCAAAAAGTTTGAAATCCATGCATAATTTTTTAATAATACATTTTCCATGAACTCATATAGTGAGTCATCGAAGAAGTCACGACACATTTTTTTGTTTTTCTATGCAAAAATGTGTCACGTCTTGTCTGAAGACCCAATACATCATTGGCATCCCAGGACATCAGGAGACAGAATGGGAGCTAAGGAGGTTTGACCCAGTAATGTCTGAAACTTTTCCTCAAATCAGTGAAAAAGATCAACTCATCAAAAAAGTTTGGCCGACCTCTAGCAGGATAAACATAAGAAGAATCACACCAAGAGGTGGCATAGACAAACTGCAGAAACAAGATAAAGACAGTATCTAAAAAGGAGATCAAGACAAGCCATCCCCTACAGGGCGTGTGCACTTGCCAGAAAGAGACAGGGAGAGAAGGAAAGTGAGAAATCACTCTAGGGAGGATGGCCACTCTGCAGTCCCTTCTCCTCCAGTCTTCTCTTGGGATTCTCAGCGCGCGCACGCACGCACACACACACGCACACACACACACAGACACACTTGGTATGGTTTTCAAGCTGCCAGGTCTGGAGCTCAAACAGCAGTCTGCCACATGGGAGTCTAGCGCCTTAACTACCACACCACCTGTTGGCCCCTGCTTCATCATTTTTTAAAAATGGAGATCAGAAGATAATAAAATGGCATCTATGAAGCTAACGATGTTTTATGTTTCTATTACATCTGTTGTAATATTGCCTATTTCATTGCAGATTTTATTTATCTGGTTCCTGGTCTTTCCTCTTAATTCATCTAGCTAATGGTGTGTCACATTTGTTTGTCTTTTCAAAGAACCAGCTTTTGGTTTCATTTATTTTTTGTATGGTTAGTTTATTCTGTTTCATTTATTTGTGTTTGCATCTTTATTATTTCTTTTCTCCCAGTATTTTTTGTTATTTCTCCAATTCTCTGAGGCATGATATTTAGTTGTCCATTTCCCACCTTTCCATCTTTTTTTTATGTGCACTAATTGCTATGAACTTCCCTCTTAGGACTGCTTTTGCTGTGTCCCTTAGGTTATGGAGACTCATGTACTCATTAGCATTGGTTTCAGAGAGTCTTTTGATTTCAGTCTTAATTTCTTCAGTAGTTGTGAAGTCATTCAGGAGTAGGTTTAATTTCTACATGTTTGTGTATTCTCAAGTTTTTTTCTGAAATTAATATCAAGTTTAATTCCACCATGGTTGGAGAAGATACTGGAAATAGTTCCTATGCCTTAGAATCTGTAAAGGCTTGTTTTGTGCCCTGTCATGTGGCCAGTTTTCAAAAAGGTTCCATGTGGGGGTGAGAAAAATGCCTATTTTGTTGCTTTGGGTTGGAAGGTGCTGTAGATGTCTGTGAAGTCCATTTGATTTATGGTATCATTTAGATCCTGTATCTCTTTGCTTATTTTTTTGTCTAGATGATCTGTCTCAAGGAGATAGTGGGATGCTGAGATCCTCAACAATTAGTATGTTACAGTCTATGTCTGCTTTTAGATCTAGCAGTCTTTCCTTCACATATTTGGGTGTTCCCGAGTTGGGTGCATAGGTATTTATAAACATTATATCTTCTTGATGAATTAGCCCTTTAACTAATACATAATGTCCTTCTTTGGCTGTTCTTACAGTTTTTGTCGTAAAGCCCGTTTTGTCTGAAATTGCGACTCCAGCCCTTTTTGACTTCTATTTGCATAGAGTACCTTTTTCCTACCCTTCGCTTTTAGTCTGTGTATGTCTTTTCCATGAGATGTGTTTCATGTAGGCAACAGATACAGAGTTATGTTTTGTTTTGTTTTTATCCATTCAGCCAATCTTCGTCTTTTGATTGGAGAATCTAATACATTAACATTCAACATTATTATCAATATTTCTGTACTTGTCCCTACCATTAAGTTGGACGTTTTCTTGGTTGTTTTTTGTTCTCTTATTTGTCTGTCTCTTTTTAGTTTTCCTGGTATAGCACTCCCTTCAGAACTTCTTGAAGAGCTGGTCTGGTATTGGTAAATTCTTTCGAGTTTTCTTTATATGATAATGTTTTTATCTTTTCTTCCCATTTGAAGGTTAATCTTGCCAGGTATAGTAATCTTGGCTGAAATTGGTTTTCTTTTAACATTTCAAATGTATCTTCTCATTATTTTCCTTGCTTGCATTGTTTCCAGTGAGAGGTCTGATGTTAACCTAATGAGATAACCTTTGTAAGTAACTTGACATTTCTCTCTTGCTAATTTTAGTATCTTGTCCTTATTTGTGGTTTTGGCCAAGCTAGCTATGATGTGCAGTGGAGAAGATCTTCTTGGGTTGGTTCTCTTTGGGGTCCTTTGTATTTCTTGGGTCTGGATATTTGAAAGCTTCTCTAGGCTTAGAAAGTTTTCTTCTAGGATTTCATGAACTAGATTATCAATGCCCTTATTAGTTTCTTCACCTTCTGGGATACCAGTTCTTCAAATGTTTGGGTGTTTAATGGTATCTAGTATTTCTTGTATATTATCCTCATATTTTTTTGTTGCTATCTTCTCAGTCTTTTTGGTGATTTGTTTTTTCTAGGTCAGAGCTTTTGTCTTCTCCATTTGAGTTTTTGTTTGTTTGTTTTTGTTTTT